TACAACCAGCAACTTTACCGGATTGCCATCTGCATCAATTTGACATTTTATTGTTCTGCAATTCTCTTTTGATAGTGCATTTCAAAATTATTATTATTATGGGGGTAACACTTGAAGTAAATTACCGATAACAAGCAACCTTGAATGCAGTGAAATAATCAGCTGGTGTTGGTTAACCGAATCAGATTGGGAGGTCATGACTTCTAAAAACAATTTGCTTAGAGAGCTGGCATCAATTTAATTTAATTAACAGTTAGGAAAATAATGAACACTGCTGGAAAGGTAAAAAGCCATGTGGGGATCTAATTCCATAAGAAGCTAAAACGACTCTGTTTAAAATAATGCTTTTGCCCAGAAATGGTTTCTGAAGGTATTGGGAAAATGTGTGTGTGAGATAAATCAGGAACAAAAAAATCAGATAGGAACAAAAAAATAATTTAGAAGGCATATGTTTTCTGCCAAGGCGCCTGCCCTCTGGAATAACATTCTCCTATCAGAGGTTGTACAGCTCCCATCCTGCAGCTGTTCTGCAGGTTTTTAAAACTTGGCTCTGCTCCCAGACCTGCTCTTAAGTGGCTGTCAAGCCTCTGATAATTTGTTCTGGATGTACACGTCTTTCTTCTTTAGTTTACCGTTTCCTAGTTTTGGACATATTAAGTTGCCTAGGGTTCTTGGGAGATAGGCAGCCTCTAAGATCAGGGGTGTGAAACTCAAGGCCTGGGGGCCAGATTCGGCCCACAGAGTGCTTATATCTGGCCTGCGGGGCCGCCCTGGAAACAGTGAAGAACCAGCCTGTGGTGGCTCTGCCAGCAAAAACGGAGCTTGAGACGGCTGCATACGACAGCCGTTTTCGCTGGCCGAGGGGTGCAGAAAGCCATCGTAGCCAAAAATGAAGCTCATCAGGGCCATGGGGACACTCCCAAGCTCCGTTTGCACTGGTAGAGGTTTCCAGGTTCTCGTAGCCAACAATGGAGCTTGGGAGCCTGTTTTCACTGTGGTGCTAGGGCCTTGACCCGAGCGATGTCGAGCTGGCCACGCCCACACTGGCCACGCCCACCCCAGCCCCCCAAGGTCAAACACAACCCTGACGCGCCCCTCAATGAAATCGAGTTTGACACCCCTGTTCTAGTTCCAACAAGTGAATAAATCTAGAAGGAGAGAGTCAGGGTGGAATGAAGCTGGCGAGACCCTTTACAAGAAAAAGATGAGGAGATTTAAGAACGAAAGGCAATGGCAAAAGTGATGAATGGGTTTGGGAGAAGTGACAAGGACAAGTTTGCAAGGAGAGAAAGGTTTGGAGAAGCAGCATGGGGAAAGGAGTCTGAAAACGCCCTGAAACTATGCTAACACACAGCACCATTTGCGTCATTTAAAGATGGTAATTTGCATGATGTCATTACAGGTAGTCCTCGACTTACCACCACAACTGAGCCCAAAATTTCTGCTGCTAAGTGCAACACTTGTTAAGTGAATTCTGCCCCATTTTACGACCTTGCTTGCCACAGTTGTTAAGTGAATCACGGCAGTGGTTAAGCTAGTGAACACGATTGTCAAATAAATCTGACTTCCCCACTGACTTTGCTTGACAGAAGGTTGCAAAAAGTGGCCACATCCCCCCAGGACACTGAAACAGTCATAAATATGAGTCAGTTGCTAAGTGTCCAAATTTTGATCATGTGACCATGGAGATGTTGCAACGGTCGTTAAGCGTGAAAAACATGTTGTGGCTCGCCAGCTGCCAGCAGAGCTGGCGGCAGACTCGGACGATGAGGAGGTTGGGGAGGAACTTGGGCCAGTCCTGGAGTCTGGGGAAGACTGATGAATGCTCTGCGTCAGAAGCAGAGAGAGAGCCAGGGCCGTCTGACATTTCCCAGCTGCCTTCGGAGTCGGAGATAAGTGGGGGCCTGTTCCAGATGCGTACATGTACAAAGCTGTCAGGTGAGGAGAACTGAGGCGCCGACTCAGGAAGAAAAGCACACATGGACGCTGAATGGCCCCTCCCTGGCTGGGGAATAAATAGAAGTTTAAGGGGAGTGGCGTTGTGGGAAACAACCAGTTGGATTTATACGTCGTGATTCGTGTCTCAGAGCCTTCTTGAGAGAGTTTGATGAATTCCCAGTAGCTAAATAAAGAGGGTTTTTTCGGGACAAGGTGGTTCTGTTTCTCAGTCCTGCTAAGGCTGGGTCAGAACAAAACAGTCATAAGTCACTTTTTTCAGTGCTGTTGTAACTTTGAACGGTCACTAAATGAATTGTTTTGAGTTGAGGACTACCTGTACACAAATAACATAACTGGATGCAAAGAATGGAATCTGCATCGTTCGAATAATGATGTCATCTCACAAGTTATCCAATTTTCTCCATGGTGTAAAGACATTTTAGAACGAGCGATATATATATTTTTTAAATCAGTTTTCCTGCCACCTTGTAAAAAAGCAAAACGCTGCCCTGGCTTTGTCACGTGTGTCTTCTTTCCAGCTTTACGTAGCAACACTTTTTCAAATCCGCCTGCTGAGTTGTAGGGCAAACTCTTGCTCTAGGCGTTTGTTCTACGCGATGCAAACAACAGGAGTGCAAGGTGTGAGCCGGTGAAGAGAACAAAGATTGCAATTTTCCCCAACAAAGGTTACAGGAATTGGGTTTGTCTAGTCTAATGAAAAGAAGAACCAGGGGTGACATGAGAGCAATGTTCCAATATCTGAGGGGCTGCCACAATGAAGAGGGAGTCAAACTATTCTCCAAAGCACCTGAAGGCAGGACAAGAAGCAATGGGTGGAAACTGATCAAGGAGAGAAGAAACCTAGAACAGTGGTGGGTTTCAATTTTTTTTACTACTGGTTCTGTGGGCGTAGCTTGGTGGGTGTGGCAGGGGAAGGATACTGTAAAATCTCCATTCCCTCCCCACTCCAGGGGAAGGATACTGTAAAATCTCCATTCCAGTAGTGGGTTGCCCCCAGTTTGGACCGGTTCGCAAGAACCGGTAGTAAAACCGGCAGGAGGCTCTGCCCTCGACGTCATCAGGAAGCTTCTGCGCAGAAGCATGCGTGTGTGCACCAGTGGTGGGTTCCTCCCAGTCCAGTCTGGTTCGGCCGAGCCGGTAGCGGTGACGATATGACATTACCGAACCGGTTCTCCAGTTGGGTCATAAGTGCGAGGATTGGTCGTAAGTGCGAGGACCTTCCAGAAATGACTCTGACCAGCTAGCCACGCCCACCTAGTCACATGTCCTCCAAGCCACATTCACAAAATAAGCCACGCCCACAGAACCGGTAGTAAAAAAATTTAGAACCCACCCCTGGTATGCACGGCCTCATTGCAAACCAGTAGTAAAGGTAAGTAGAACCCACCCCTGCTCCATTCCCTCCCCAATCCAGGGGAAGGTTACTGCAAAATCCCCATTTCCTCCTAATCAGTTGGGACTCAGGAGGTAGAGAATAGATGGGGGCGGGGCCAGTCAGAGGTGGTATTTACCGGTTCTCCAAACTACTCAAAATTTTTGCTACTGGTTCTCCAGAACTGGTCAGAACCTGCTGAAACCCACCTTTGACCTAGAACTAAGGAGAAATTTCCTGACAGTTAAGAACAATTAATTAATGGAACCACTTGTCTTCAGAAGTTCTGGATGCTCCAACACTTAAGAAGAGATTGGACAATCATGTGTCTGAAAGGGCATAGGATATCTTGTTTGGGCAGGGGATTGAACTAGTTTACAGTGGCCCCTAGCTTTTCGGGCACCAGGTACCAGTTCCCTGGAGAGGTTTTTCTGTGGATCGGAGGAGATGTGGTTTCATGTGCTGCCTGCATCCCGCAGATGGGCTTCGCTTGTTTGCGTGGCCCAATTTTTGCCATGCCATGGCCCAGTGCCAGTCGAGAGACAGGAGGTTGGGGAACCCCTGAACTAGTAGACCTCCGAGGTCCCTTCGAACTCTGTTATGCTGTTAAAAGGCGGCAAGCAAAGTTCTGCAGAAATATGCCAGCCTCTGAGGGCATCTCAAAGCAGAGCAGACAAGCTGGTCTCAGTGCCAAGGGCACTTGCAGAATGCAAAGGTTAAATGTGGGCTGTAGTTAAATTCTTGCCCTTTTCGTTGTCGCCAAGTTTTCTCTGTCCTGTCTTTTGGTGAGAGGTTCCAGCCTAATCTAGTAGGAGCATTTGATTAAAGGAAAAAAATAATGTCTTCAATGTCTTTTTGTGACCACTGTGCTTGCTTTACAACGGTCGCAAAAAAGGTTGTAAAGCCAGGTTGGTCACGTGGGTACCTCAACTTAATGACGGACATGGCTTATGATGGAAATTCTGGGCTCCATTACCGTCATAAGTCAAGGACTATGGTATGCAGCTCTCAGCACACACTGAAAGGCTGAGTGGCCTCTTGCTGAAATTATAAGAACCTCAGCTCAATTAACTTCTACCAGGAGTTGTAGAAGTTCTACACTGCAGATGTGTAGCTCAGGGATCTGGGCAGCTGTGGTCAACTGTCCAGTTGGCGAATCCAGAAAAAGAAACTCCTGGGACATTATTTTATAGAGTATAAACTTTACGGAATAAACCAAATTGGCACCGAAGAAGCAAAACCAGCTCTGGATTTCCCGCGCAAAAGCAAGCACAGTTAATTCCCTCTTACCCTACAGGCCACCCACAGTCTATTACATCCACCAATCACTTCTGTTCATTTTGTTATGGGAACCAGCCAGCCATGCTGGGGCATCTATTTGGCGTGTCCTTGAGAGGGGAGCAATGTCTCATGGGAACCTACGTTGCTTGGATGCCATTCCCCCCACCCTTGCATTCTATTCCAACCCCTCCCTTTTCTTTCTCAAGCTGCAAGCGAAATGGAATATAAGTGAAAGTGTGACAAGTATCATATAGTGCTGTTTACATATGAGTGATATGGAAGTTCGGGGCTTAGGTTATCCCAGTTGAAGTGGTCCAAAAACCCTGTTCCTCCCCGGTCCCAACACCCCACCCCCATTAAAACATTTAATTGCATTGATTCAATGTACCTTCATTCCCGATGCAGCTGCCGGTCCACTGGGATCCACAGCTTGCACGTGGCAGGGCTTGCTCCCTCGGACCACAAATCCCCACCCAACAGCATCACCTACGATCTTAAAGGAAAAGAAGAAGATGGCCACATTGAATCTTGTTAATAATCTTGCTCTCTTCTTTCTTTAAACAAAGAAATGGCATTTGATGTTGAAGGAAGGAAAGGGAAGGGAAGAAGGAAGGAAGGAAGGAAGGAAGGAAGGAAGGAAGGAAGGAAGGAAGGAAGGAAGGAGGGAGGGAGGGAGGGAGGGAGGGAGGAAGGAAGGAAGGAAGGAAGGAAGGAAGGAAGGAAGGAAGGAAGGAAGGAAGGAAGGAAGGAGGGAAGGAGGAAGGAAGGAAGGAAGGAAGGAAAGGAAGGAAGGAAGGAAGGAAGGAAGGAAGGAAGGAAGGAAGGAAGGTTAGGTGAACATGAAGATGTTCCAACTCTTATTTTGATGAGAGATCACAATAAAATCTTAAAGACAGAATAAGCATAACTCATTTTTAGCCACTGCTTTCTTTAAACATTACATTCATTTTCTTTTTTAAAAAATTACCCACCCACTCAACTTGTCTCTACACTGTGGAGTAATGCCTCCCCGCCCCTTTGGGCCAGCAAAACAACAACAATGTAAGGTGAACAGTTTGTGAAGGAGCCCTTATTAACACATCTATAGCGTTTTCTAAATCTGCATTCCAAGAAGTGTCAGGAAAGCACAGCTTAATTGTAGGCAATTTTGCTCCCGACAGAGCAAAAAGCAGAACTAATCTGAAGCATTTATTCTGTATCGACTATAGCAGTGATGGCGAACCAATGGCACATGTGCCCAAAGTGGCACATGACGCTATGTTGCCCATCACGCGTGGCGTTGACTATTTCTGGTGTGCATGTGCACGCGATGATCAGCTTTCCTTTGCGTGCGTGGCAGTGCCGAAAACCAGTGTGCGCATGCATGCCGGCCAGCTGATGTCAGGTGCACATACATGCCAGAACCCAGAGGTTCAGCTTTTCTGGAACGCGATCCCTTCACATGCGTGGCAGTGCCAAAAACCAGCCTGTGCATGCACGCTGGCCACCTGATTATCAGGCACGCATGCGTGCTAAAACCCGGAAGTTTGGCTTTTCTAACGAGTGCATGCACGCTTGTGCAAAGTTTCCGTGCAACCTTTTCGGCCATCACTGGACTATAGGTTAGTTTATACGTGACCTTGCTCGGAAAATAGCAATAACACTTAGACTTATATACAGCTTCACAGTGCTTTACAGCCCTCTCTAAGCGGTTTACAAAGTCAGTATATTGCCCCCAACAATCTGGGTCCTCATTTTACCGACCTTGGAAGGATGGAAGGCTGAGTCCACCTTGAGCCGGTGAGAATCGAACTGCAGGCAGAAGTAGTAGTACTGCATTCTAACCACTGCGCCACCATGGCTCATATAGTGTTTTCATATAAAATGCATATAAAGTGTTTCTTCTAAGTTGCAAAGCATCTCATGTTCAACATGTTTCTATACATATGTGTTTAAATGCACATGGGTACGTGTATAGTATAATATATGTGCATATGTGTGTGTTTACCTACAAATCTGTATATGTATCTACTGTATCTGTATATAGGTAGTCCTCAAGTTATGACCATAATTGAGTTTAGCAGTTATGTTCATAAGTCATGATGGCCGTAAAGTGGATCGCCAAGCAACTGGACCCAACTATATGAGGGTTTTTTTGCAGCGGTCATTAAGTGAACACCATGGTCATTATGTGAAGCCATTGTTCACTATGGGCTGGTTTTTCCCAGAAATGGGAAGTAAATACTAGTTTCTGGCAAAACAGTCATAAATCATGTTCACACGACTATGAGACACTACAAACGACCATAAATGGGGCTGGCTGTCAAGTGCCAAAAATTGTGCTCACATGACCAGGGTGGTAGGGTGACATTGGAACTATAAAACCAGGTTGTAAGTTCCTTTTGGAGGGTCCGTCATAACGTTGAATGCAGGGGTGAAATGTAAAATTTGTTACTACCGGTTCTGTGGGCGTGGCTTGGTGGTGGTGGGGGTAATGTGACTGGGTGGGTGTGGCCAACTTTTTTTTTTTTTTAACTTTTCAAAGCATTTTTTCTAATGCTTTGAAAAGCCTCTGCCGATCACGCAAATCAACTGGGATCGTCAGAGAGGCTTTTTAAAAAATACCTCTCTGCCGATCAGGAAACTCAGCTGGGATCGTCAGAGACTTTTCAAAGCATTTTTTTTACCACCTCTTCGGCCAAGAGGTTGCAGAAAAAAATGCTTTGAAAAGCCTCTGACTATCCCAGCTGAGCCACGCAATCATCAGAGGCTTTTTTTTTACTTTTAAAAGCATTTTTTTCATTGGAAGAGGTTGTAGAAAAAATGCTTTTAAAAGTTTTTTTTAAAAAAAGCCTCTGATGATCGCATGGCTCAGCTGGGCATGGTGGAGGGGGCGCAGGGATTTTTGCTACCGGTTCTCCGAACCACCCACCGCCATCGCTACCGGATTGGGCGATCCGGTCCGAACCGGGAGCATTTCACCCCTGGTTGAATGGGTGCTAAGTGACCGGTCATAAGTCAAGGACTATATATCTATCCATCTCATTTCTTGGCAACTGTGTGTCTGTGTTCATGTAGTTTTCATTGGCAGTGATATTGAAGCAGCTTGTCATTGTCTTTTCCGAGCCTATTTCCTTGATATTTTCTGCCGGTGTCCCATTCACGTTCCAACCCAGTCCAACCCTGTTTAGCTTTCTGACTCCCATTTCCAGGTGGGCGCATAAAAACACATGATTGCCCTAATCTTATTAATCATATTTATAAGATGACTTCAAAATGGTTGCATTATTTCTACACCACTGAACGAAAATAGCTTTACACCATGGTCTAGTCATCCAGGTCATGGTTATCTCAAAGGTGCTTTTCGAAGAGGCAACTGGACTTTCTGGTTTGTTTGTTTTTTGAAGACGTTTTGCATCTTGGATCAAAGCTTCTGGGATGAGAAGCGAAACGTCTTTAAAGAAAAACCAGAAAATCCAGTTGCCTCTTGAAAAAGCACCTTTGGGACAGCTTTACACCATGGTCAGGTTCAGCCAGCGGTGGGCTGCTGGGGGTTCGCAGGGGTTTGGGAGAACCTCTAGCTAAGATTCTGTGCAGTTCGGAGAACCCCCAAATCCCACTCCTGGCTGGCCCCGCCCACCCCACCCCTCCCTTCCCAGGAGTCCCCATGCGGCCCATTTTGGATGCAGGGCGTGTGCGGACGCTCGGGGAGGGTGAAAAAGAGGCCTACCGGAAGTTCGGGAAAGCTGGAAATGGGCCCGTTTCCAGCCTCCAGAGGGCCTCCGGAGCCTGGGGAGGCCATTTTCATCCTCCCGGAGGCTCAAAGAAAGCCTCTGGAGCTCGGGGAGGGCAAAAACATCCCCCCACCGTGGTGCAGAAGGCCGACTAGGCCACACCCATCATGGCCACGCCCACCCAGCAACCAGGCAGAGAACCCTTTGCTAAAATTTTTGAAGCCCACCCCTGGGTTCAGCACCTGAAATTTAATAGCTAAAATTCTAAGCAATGGTCGCAACGCTGCATAAACCAAATGCGATAAAGCAGGAGAAAATAAAGATGTGAAACACAAACTTACAGTGAATGTTTTCCGGGCATAGGGAGCCCCAGGCCTCAGAAGTTCCTCCGGAGTCACTGTTCTTTTTAGTACTGGGAGGGGGTGGGGAATGGAAGGAAAGACACCTAAATAAGATTTGTTTCTGATTATTCTTCAGAGAATGAAGCTGCTTCCAAATTAGGAATCTAGTCTGGAATTGCCTGGCTTCATTCAGTCCTTTTTTTTTTTTTTTTTTTACAAGAGTTATATTACAACTTCTGCTTTTTTTTCTTCTACTAAAAATGACCTTTTCTGAGAAAAGAACAATTACTCTGTACCTGCCTTAAGAAAAAAGGAAACCACTGGGCAATTTTTCACAACCATCAAGGACATCAAATGTTCACTGACAACAAAGTGATTTATAGAGAATCCAGAATAAACCAGATGTGCCCAAGCTATGAACTTCTAAGGAAAAAAGGGTGCAGCGAGGAGTGCTCTCTTGCCTCAGAAAATGTAAAATAAAAATTAAGGTTGCTGATTTGTGCTTCCCCTTTTCATAAAGTCTACAAGTGTGGTTTGACATTTGTGCACCTGCCCAGGAAATGCCCAGTTTCCGAGCATTTAAATCCAAAGAAACAAAATACAATTTTGTGCAGGTAGTGTTTGACTTACTTTGGCCAACTTGTATAGCTACAAGGAAGAAGAGAGTATTGATTGATTGATTGATTGATTCATTCATTCATTCATTCATTTTATATATATATAAAGTGTTTCCTATCGAAAACACTTATTAAGTTCAAATCCCAGTAAGGGTATGGCTAGCTGATGAGAGCTAAATAGCTTGAAATAGATCTATACTAGTCTCCCTTTATTTCTTTATCAGCGAAATATACATTTGGATATATATATATATATATATGAAAGCACGAAGCCGAGAACACCAGCCTGAAGATGACGAATAAGACTTCGTCGAAACGTCGCCAAGAAACCTCCAATTTTACGTGGGAGAAAACCCGAATAACCAAAGACCTACACACACACACACACACACACACACACACACACACACACACACATGCTTGTGAGGAAATAAATTAAATATACCGTATACTTCAGGGGTGTCAAACCCAAGGCCCGGGGGCCGGATCTGGCTCATGCAATCTTTAGCTCTGGCCCTCAGGGCCACCCTGGAAACAGCGAAGGACTGGCCCACGGTGCCTCTGCCAGCGAAAACGGAGCTCTGGAGCTCCATTTTCCCTGGCAGAGGGTTGCAGGAGGCTGTTGCATCCGAGTCCGTTTTCTCTAGCAGAGTGCTTGGACCACCACAGGTGCCCCCGATATGAGTGACATCGAGCTGGCCACACCCACCCTGGCCATGCCCACTCCGGCCCTCTGAGGTCAAACACAACTCTAATGCGGCCCTCAATAAAATTGAGTTTGACACCCCTGGTATACTGCTTTTTAGCCTTGTGTCTTAACCTTTTTTGAATGACATCACAAGCACTGTTCAATAAACCCCCCAAATGCTTTTTATTGCTTTGTCCTTAGAAATCCAGCATCAGTTCTACTTGCAACTACTTTTTAACTATCATGGATAAGGACAGGCTGATATCCTCTGCTACTGAAACTGATGTGAAGAAGTCAAGGGAAGGAACTGCGCAAATCATTAACACTGCCAGCAATCCAGCATTTATACTTTGTGAATAAGAGTAATGTCCAAAATAGGAGAGGAAATTATAGGTAATTCTCGCTTTACGACTACAATTGGAATCAACATTTCTGTTGCTAAGCAAGGTGATTTTTAGGTGCGTTGCACCTGATTTTACAACCTTTTTTGCAACAGTTGTTAAGTGAAACACTGCAGTTGAGAAAATTGTGTAGCTGTTACATTTCCCTTAATGACTTTGCAATCATGAGGAATACATGCCATTGCCAGGTGCCTGTATTGTGACCGTGTAATCATGGGGATGCCGTGAAGGTCATAATTATGAGAACTCGTTGTAAGTCACTTTTTTCAGTGCCGTTATAATATTGAACGGTCACTAAAGAAATGGTTGTAAGTCAAGGACTATCTGTAGGAGGAAATATATCTAGAATCACAAAATCAGTCCTGCTTGTGGGTTCCTCAGATGATTAAAGCACTTTCTATCGCACAGCCTGAAAAGAGGTATTATGGGCTGTCTGCTGAAGTTGTTAACACACAACCAGACTGATGTGAAAAAGGAGAAGCCCAAATTATTTCTTCCTAGTCAAATTTTCCTTGGAATCAGCATATTTTTATCCTTTTTTCTTTTGAAGGCCAGAAATGAGTTATCTTTCATCTTTCTGGAAGCGCAGGAAATCGCTTAGAACAAAAATAGGCTGGTGGCAGCTTTCATCTTGTTCAATAAGGGCTTGTCAGATACAAATTGATGTGACAGCTGAAAGAATTTTGTGGTTGCTCTCACTCATAGCATCATCACTTTGTTGTTCCCCTTTCATGTGCTGCCCTGTTTCATTCGTAGCTCAACATAAATCAAAAGCTTTTGCCCGGGCTGTGAATTACACAATTGAGATGGGTGGCCATGGAAAGAAAATAAATAAAAAAATAAACAAATTGTAAAATAAATCGACAGACTGAGCTACAGTTGAGAAGTCAAACCAGGCAGAAAACGTGGATTTTAATCTGATTCTGAGGTGATTCTATGTCTGATAGGATTTTACATTAATACTCTAGTCTAGTATCAGTGATTTAGGATTTTAGTCGATTGCTTCTCTAGGAAGGTTTTTTTTTTCATTTTGGTATTGCTTTGCCTAGAACAGGGGTGTCAAACTCAAGGCCCATGGGCTTTATCCGGCCTACTGGGTGCTTAATCCTGGAAACAACAAAGGACTGGCCTGTGCTGCCTCTGCCAGCGAAAAAGAGGGTCAGGGAGGTTGTGTGTAGCCCCCCCCCCGGAGGGCTCTGTTTTCGCTGACAGTGGGCTGCAGCAGGAGGCCGTTGCACCCAAAAAGAGAGCCTTGATGAGTGATGTCAAGCTGGCCACACACCCTGCCACGCCGCCCCCCCAGGTCAAACACAATCCTGATGTGGCCCTCAATCAAATCGAGTTTGACACCTCTGGCCTAGAAGATGCCATTTGACAAGTGTTCAGGCATTGGGAATCCTGCCATATATACGTATCAATTGGTTTGCTTTTTTTTTTTTTATTTAAACAAAAAAATCCACTAAGGAGAGACAAATAAAAAAATAAATAAAAACTTTCAGGCCGCTTCTGCAACCTAGAATCGTTTTTCTCAGACTTGGCAACTTGAAGAAGCATACTGGCTGGGGAATTTCGGGATTTGAAGTCCACATATCTTCAAGTTTAAGTTGAAAAGGTTGAAAAACACTGACCTAAAAGCGTCTCTAAATTCTAACCAGGGCTTGAGAAGACACAGCAGCCGTCTCCCCATCACTATCTATTCACGTGTCATCAATGCTGTGAATTCAACGAAGACAGCATTGATTGTTACATGAAGGATGAGCGTGTGGGAATCCATGAAGAATTGCTTGTAAAATCAAACGTATTGCTGCTTAGTCAATGTTCACAAACACTGTAGCAGGGGTGGGTTCTAATTTTTTTCACTACCGGTTCTGTGGGCGTGGCTTATTTTGTGGGTGTGGCTTGGAGGTCATGTGACTAGGTGGACGTGGCTAGCTGGTCAGAGTCATTTCTGGAAGGTCCTCGCACTTACGACCAGTCCTCGCACTTACGACCCGACTCATTTGTTTGCTTTTAACACTGATCAGCTGTAGGACGGCCCTTTGGAGCCCCGCGGCAAGAGTTTAAACAGTTTTTTTTCCCTCTAGTCATCAGCTGGGACTCAGGAGGCAGCAATAGATTGGGGGTGGGACCAAATAAAAGGTAAGAATAACATGGGGGGATGGGAGGGCAGGGGGGGAGAACCAGTTCGGTGACGTCATATAGTCACCACTACCGGCTCGGCCGAACCGGACCAAACCCACCACTGCACTGAAGACTACAAATGTTGAAACACACAGCCGGACAAGTGGTTGCCTTTGTTGCATCAATCTAAGAAAAGTCTATTAGCTTAGAGGTCATTTGAATAAATAATGTGATTAGTCTGGTTTTTATCTGGGCACCTATGCCAACATAGTCAGTAGTGGTTTGGGAACCCAGGATGCTTCCAAGCAAGGCTCTTCTATGTGGAAAAATCATATCCAAACCACCTATGCAATATATCTATTGATGAGAAAGATAGCAATAGCACTTAGACTTATATACCCCTCCATAGTGCTTTATAGCACTGTCTAAGCCCGGGATGGCAAACCTATGGCACACGTGCCACAGGTGGCACGCGGACCCATATCTGTGGGCACACAGGTGTTGCCCTAGCTCAGCTCCAGTGTGCATGTGTGCACTGGCCAGCTGATTTTCAGGCCTTCCGGTCCTACCGGAAAGTCGGGAAACAGGCCGTTTCCAGCCTCCGGAGGGTGGGGAAAGCTGTTTTCACCTTCCCCAGGTTCCTAGAAAGCCTCTGGAGCCTGGGAAGGGCGAGAAATGGTCCCACCGGAAGTCGGGAAACAAGCCGTTTTCGGCCCCTGGAGGGCCTCTGGGGGGTGGGGAAGGCTGTTTTTGCCCTCCCCAGTATCCAAGAAAGCCTCTGGAGCCTGGGGAGGGTGAAAAACGGGCCTACCGGGCCCACCGTGCCATTGTGTGCCAAAAGTGGGGGGAGCACGGGGGTACCGTGTGCATGCATGGGGGCGGGGCTGATTGAATTATGGGTGTGAGCATGCGTGTGCATGACCCTCCCCTCCGCGCTCCCTCCGATTTTGGCACGCGACAGCAAAAAGGTTAGCCATCACTGCTCTAAGTGGTTTACAGGGTCAGCATAATAGGTCCTCATTTTACCAACCTAGGAAGGATAGAAGGCTGAGTCAACCTTGAGCCCATCAAGATCCAACCCCAGGCTATGGCAGAATTAGCCCGCAATACTACATTCTAACCACTGTGCCACCAGGATTCCTGACATCACTTACCACCATTTATTTTTCCATATTTTCTGGCAAACCCCTGAATCTCAACTCTTTCTCCTTCAAATCCATTAGCAATAAATTGGCTTCTATTCCCACAATCTATGTTTAATTTTTTGATTTCTACAGCTGAGGATCTCAGCGAGTGAGTCTGGGAGGCTTAACACAGGACAAAATAAATGTACGTGTCATTAAATAAAACTGTTATTATGATGTTAATACAACGAGGAAAAGGGACTCTTCATATATTCAGGGCCTCAGCCCAGGGCACGCAACTAAGTCTTCACAGCCTTACAATATTTTTATTTTATTGTGCCAATAACAATGTTCAAGAGATATAAAATTGCTGGAATGTTTTATCATTTAAACACCCCAGCTTATCTGACATAGTTTATCAGGGTTCTCTTTAGCATGCTAGCTTTGAAAGTACTGGTGTGTTTGTTTATTTAACCATTGGGAGCCTGTAGACATTCAGTTCCAGGTCTTTCAATGGAAATTGTACAGGTCTCCAAAAGAAATATTGTATTACATGGGGTTGCCCCTTGTAGGGCTTAGCCTACAGTCATCTAGACCAGTGTTTTCCAAACTTGACCCTTTGAAGATGTATGGACTTCAACTCCCAGAATTCCTCAACCAGGCGTACTATTCCTCAACCAGGCATACTATTCCTCAACCAGGCATACTGGCTGGGGAATTCTGGGAGTTGAAGTCCATGCATCTTAAAATAGCCAAGTTTGGGAAACACTGATCTAGACAAATTATGATTGATTTGATTATTTGTTCTACAAAGAAAGACAAGTAGTGACTTTTGCGCTTGGCCTTACTGCCATGCGCTCAAAAGCCCAATTGGGCTTATTATCAGGGGATGTCTTATTTTGGGAGAAACAGGGTATATATACATTTTATTTAATTAATTGCACCACAAGCATGTAAAAAGATTAGGACTGTGGAGAGATCTGGAAAGGGGTGGGCTGCTGGCAGTTTCCAAGGGTTCGGGAGAACCTCTAGCTAAGATTCTGTGCAGTTTGGAGAACTCCCAAATCCCACTCCTGGATGGCCCTGCCCTGCCCCACCCTGCCCATCCCTCCCCTCCCAGGAATCCCCACACTGCCTGTTTTGGATGCAGATAAGTGCAGGGCGCATGAGGAGGCTTGGGGAGGGTGAAAAACAGGCCTACTGGAAGTTCAGGAAGCCGAAAATGGGCCTCCGGAGCCTGGGGAGGCCGTTTTCGCCCTCCTGGAGGCTCAAGGAAAGCCTCCAGAGCCTGGGGAAGGCAAAAATGCACACACACCCCACCATGGTGCAGGAGGCTGACTAGGCCACGCCCACCATGACCACAACCACGCCCACCCAGCAACCGGGCAGAGAACCCCTTGCTAAAATTTTTGAAGTCTACCCCTGATCTGGAGGGCAAAATATGATTAGGAGTTCATCTGTATCTACTGTTCAAAACTTTAACCTAGGATCTTAAAGTTTCCTTGGTTAAGATGGTGGCCTAGAAACTAGGAGAGTGTGAGTTCTAGTCCCTCTTTGGCAGGAAAGCCGGCTGAGTGACTTTGGTCCAGTCATTCTCTGATCCCAACCCACCTTACAGTGTTGTTGTTATCCACCTTGAATTACTTATAAAGTAATTAAGGGTGAGTTAACAAATCTGAAAAAAAAATAATTAAGTAAACATTAGATATCAAGCTGGCTGGGGAATTCTGGGAGTTTAGATCCACATATCTTAAAGTTGCCAAGTTTGAAAAGCATTGCTTTAAAAGGCTCCTGACAGGTGTTAGATGTACACTGAAATATCCTCCAAACTCTTTTAAATCCAAATATCTGCGTAGCCCTAAACGAGGACTACATTCTGCTAATTCAAACTCAGCTTCTGGTTTCTAAGTGTTATTTGCAACAATGCAAGAATGGATTACTGTTGCCTACTGCCAGGATATAAGATTCGGAAGGGCAGGGATGGGGGTGGGAGAACTATACTGAGCATAAAGCTACTAAGTTGTGCAACCAAATGTCTTTATAAAGCCACTTTTTTATACTGAGGATATAAGGATGTCCCCAAGTACCAAGATAACCACTGTTATCTCAAGAAGCCAAATGTGATTTGAAGCTGCATGTAGCATTAATTCTGCCTGAGATGATAATTGCTCCTCCAAAGTTATTAACTTCTGCTCAAGGCAAACAGTCATTCCTGACCCATTTTCATCATTGGAAACAAAAAAAGAGGTTAAATTTGCTCTCCAATAAATAGCCAGAAACAACTCCCCAGCTCGGTAGCTGCTACTTGCATTTTTTTAAAAAACAAAACAAAATGTGCACCTTAGACGCAATGATGAAGAAATACGACCCCCTAAAACAGGGGTGTCAAACTCAAGGCCCCGGAGGTGGATTTGGCCTGCGGGGTGCTTAGATCTGGCCCACCGGACCGCCGTGGAAGCAGCTAAGGACCAGCCTGTGGTGCCTCTGCCAGCAAAAACGGAGCTCGCAAGGGCCACGGACAGCACTCCCAAGCTCCATTTTCGCTGGCAGCGGGTGCAGGAAGCCATTGCAGCCGAAAATGGAGCTCGGGAGCCCACTTTTGCTGGCAGAGCACTTGGGCCATCACAGACACCACTGAGACGAGTTATGTCAAGCTGTCCACACCCTCCCCCGCCCCCCCAAGGTCAAACAAAACCCTGATGCGGCCCTCAATGAAATCAAGTTTGCCCTAAACCATCACTGTTGTAAACATGTCTCAGCATCCTACCAGATTTCGGGTTGCAGAGGACGGGTGGGCTGCTGCCGAGAGTCGGGCTGCTGCTGAAGTACCCGCTGCTACCACAGCTGCTCATGCTACTCCGTCTGACCGCAGAGACAATCTTGATCTCCTTGCTGGGGCTCACTGTCCAAACCAAAGAGTGAGGGAGATTTATGTAGAAGACAAGAACCATGCTGGGGTCTCTTAATTGTTTTCCTTAAGTTCCTCTGTCATTTCAGAACACTATTACAGGTAGCTCTCATGGAATGGCCACTCATTTTTTAATGTTGTGATGGTGCTGAACAAGGCGGACTTATGACTAGTTGTTGTACATAATAAACCTTTTAGTTTTAGTTTAGTTTTAGTTTTATTTGATTTGTATACCGCCCTACTCCCGAAGGACTCAGGGCGGTGAACAGCCAACAATAAAATACATAAATACACAAAATTTAAAAACCCGATAAAATCAAATTAAACTTTTTGGCCCAGACAAATTAAAATACCCCAATAATTTAAAAACAGATTAAAATTTACATATTTAAAAAGGGAAGAGATCAGGCCAAGCCCGCTTGATGGAATAAGATGCCCCTTTCTTCTGTGCATTCTAAAAGGGTCGCGATGGGTCAGCAGTTAAAGGTGCTGAGCTTGTCAGTTGGTGAGCTGACAGCCCAGGTTCGAGACCCAAGCATCATGCGATGAGGTGAGTTCCCGCTATTTGCCTCAGCTCCTGTCCACCTAGAAAGCTTGAAAGCATGCAAATGCGAGTAGATAAATAGGTACCACTTCGCTGGGAAGGTAACAATGTTCTATGTGCCTTTCTCGTATATCCATGCTGGCCATATGACCACGGAAAATGTATTTGGACAATTTTGGCTCCCTCAACCAAGAAACAGAGATAAGCACCGTGCCCTAGAGTCGGACACAACTGGACAATGGAAACCTTTATCTTTTCTGGGCATTCTAGTCTAATCAGCCTTTTATTTTGCAATGATTTTCACTGACTGGGTGAAAAGTAACTGTCCTAATACCAAGAGCCGTGGTGGCGCAGTGGTTAGAGTGCAGTATTGCAGGCTACTTCTGCTGCCTGCCAGCTGCCTGCAATTTGGCAGTTTGAATCTCACCAGGCTCAAGGTTGACTCAGGCTTCCATCCTTCCGAGGTGGATAAAATGAGGACCCAGATTGTTGGGGGCAATATGCTGAGTCTGTAAAAACCACTTAGAGAGGGCTGTAAAGCACTGTGAAGCGGTATATAAGTCGAAGTGTTATTGCTATTTTTACTGGTGTACGCAATCTGCTACGTGGGAGGATGAAAAATGGAGTGAGACAGAAGTGGGTATGAAGCAGGGGTGAAATCTACTTACCTTCCCTACCAGTTCAGAAGTGCGCGCATGCGTGTCACATGCAATTTTGGACCCCCTGTACACACACAAAGCCTTTGCGCATGTGCAGAGGGTAAAAAACAGGTTACTTCCTGGTTAAAGCCAGGAAGTAACGATGTCCGGGTGGGTGGACCCGCATGCTGCCGCCGCTACCAGTTCTCCAAACCACCCGCCTCCACTACTGGTTTGCCTGAACCAATACGAACCAGTAGCATTTCACCCCTGGTATGAAGGATAGAATAAATATGTCCCACTCTGCTTTCTTATCCATTGTACTACCCATCAGGTGGCTGCTAAAAGATTGCGACCCTAAGGGTACAGGTAGTCCTTGACTTATAACCATTTGTTTAGTGGCCATTTGAAGTTACAACAGCACTGAAAACAGCAACTTATAACCATTTTTCCAAACTTATGAACCGTTGCAGCATTCCCATGGTCAGGTGATCAAAATTCAGGCATTTGGCAACTGACTCATATTTATGATGGTTGCATTGTCCTGGGATCATGAGATTCCCTTTTGCAACCTTCTGACAAGCCGCTAAGTTAACCGCTGCAGTGATTCACTGAATAACTGGCAAGAAAGGTTGTAAAATTGGCAAATCTAATTTAACAACTGTCTTGCTTAGCAACGGAAATTTTTGGCTTGACTGTGGGTCATAAGTAAAGAATAAGGATGTTTGCCTACCTTTGGTTGCCTCTACTTAACTTGCCAAAAGTTCAGGTGGAAATTGTCCTACCACCAGATCAGTGGTGGGTTTCAAAATTTTTTACTATGGGTTCTGTGGGTGTGGCTTGGTGGACGTAACATTGCTTGGTGGGCATGGCTTGGTGAGCCTAGCAGGGGAAGGTTACTGCAAAATCCCCATTTCTTCCCGATCAGCTGGGACTCAGGAGACAGAGAATAGATGGGGGAGAGGCCAGTCAGAATTTTTACTACCGGTTCTCCGAACTACTCAAAATTTCCGCTGCCGGTTCTCCAGAACTGATCAGAACTTGCTGAAATCCACCTCTGCACCAGATGCTTTAACAGAGAGTTGCCAGGGATAAGAATTTTTGCCTGTAGGGTGTTTCCCTGCCACATCCTTTTATCAAGCATTAAAAAGGCCAACACCCTGGATATAATTAACAGCAATGAACTTCATGCGAATGCATAAAAATTTCCTGGAACCATTTCACTTCCTAAGGTGTTGAAAGGAAAATACACCTCTTCAGGGTCATAAACCCAATTTTGGATAACATACAGTAGTGGCCAAAATTGTGGAAACCTTTTGGGGAAAGTGTATTTCTGAGGTTTGATAGCACACCATTTTTTTTTTTATTGCAAAAGTTTTACAATTACATTTTCACCCCTTTTTTCACCCCCCCCTCCCCAAACTTCCCATCCTCCCTAACCCTCCCTAACCCTCCCCCCCAGACTTCCCTATTATGTACTCATAACTAATGACACTGATATATAAGCTTGAACCCATCCCTTCCCCTGTATAATTTTTCCTCTTTGTCTCTTTACATTAAAATATTTCTAATACATTATTTTCAAATAAAAGCTATTTGATACTTTCTAGTTTGGTATTTGTTCTGAACATATTCTATCCACCTTTTCCATTCCCATTCATAAGTCTCTTGTGAACAGTCTTTTAAATATGCTGAAATCTTCGCCATCTCTGCAAAACTAGCCATCTTCAAAGTCCATTCCTCGATAGTGGGCAAAGCTTCATTCTTCCAGTATTTACCTATCAACAATCTTGCTGCTGTTATCATATACAATATCAGTTTTGTTTCACCCCGTGTAAAACCCTTAACTATACCCAATAAAAACAACTGTGGAGAAAATTGAATTTTTTTCCTCAAAACATTCTGCATGACCCACCAAATTTTTATCCAAAAAGCCTTAACTTTCCTACAGGTCCACCAAACATGATAATATGTAGCATCCAAACATTCGCATCTCCAACATTTTGGCTGAACATTAGGGTACATACATGACAATTTTTTAGGATCTAAATGCCATCTATAAAACATTTTATAAAAATTTTCTCTCAGGTTTTGCGACTGTGTAAATTTAACATTCTGAACCCAAATTTTTTCCCAAGTTTCCAGCATCACTGGTTCTTCAAAATTCTGTGCCCACTTAATCATACAATCTTTAACTAATTCCATTTCTGAATCTCTTTCTAACAAAACATTATAAAGCCTTTTAATATGCATTGGACCTTTCTCTCTTATATGTCTAACCAATTCTTCCTCATGCAACATAATACCAGTTTTTTGGTCCTCTTTCCATCTCAGTTGTAGTTGATTATATTGTAACCAAGTTAAATTAAACCCTTCATCCAACAGTGTCTGTAATGTCTTCAGCTGCCATCTGCCCGCATCTGTGAAAAGAACCTCTTTATATAAAAACCCCCCGAGTGACATTATATTTGTATTCCACAAAGTATGACCAAGATCCAGCCATAGCGGTATTTTGTAATCCCATTTGAGTCGGTGCTTCTTCCAAACTCTCATCAAAGAGTCTCTAAGTACATGACTTTTAAATACTTTATCTACTTTATCGTCGTAAAATAAATAAGCATGCCATCCAAATTAAAGATCAAAACTTTTTGCATTCAATATTCCAGTCTTTTTACTTCCAAACCAATCACTTGTTAAAGTTAAAGCTGCTGCATCATAATATAACTGTAGGTTTGGGAGTTTAAGGCCTCCTCTTTCTGGAACATCTTGCATAATTTTCAATTTCACTCTCGGCTTCTTCTCGTTCCAGACAAACTTATTCACACCAGACTGCCAAACTTTCAGTTGTTTATCACTTTTAAGCACCGGAATCATTTGAAACAAAAACAGAAATCTTGGCAAAATGTTCATCTTAACTGCTGCTATTCTTCCAAGTAAAGACAGTTGCAGCTTTTTCCAAGTCTCCATGTCTTTCTGAACCTCTCGCCACAACACCTCATAATTATTTTGAAACAATTTCATGTTTGATTCTGCAACCTGAACTCCAAGATATTTTACCTTAGGTACAATTTCAAAACCTGCCCTCCTTTCAAGCTCATGTTTACGATCTTGTGTCATATTTTTAACTATCATTTTAGTCTTTTTTGAATTCAGTCTAAAACCTGAAACTCTACCATAGTCTTGTATAATGTCCTTCATCAGGATTGTTGATTCCATTGGTTGTGATAGGGTAACAACCAGATCATCTGCAAATGCCTTTATTCTATAATCCTCTTGCCTTATCATTATGCCTTTCAAAATTTTAGAGTCCCGTATTGTATTTAGCAAGACTTCCAATGTTAAAATAAATAAAAGTGGGGACAACAGACATCCCTGTCTTGTTCCTTTTTCAATTTTAAACTCTGTCGTCAGACTTCCATTAATAATAATCTGTGCCTTTTGCTCTTGATAAATTGCTGAAATCGCCTGTATAAATTGGTCCCCAAAGTCCATCTTTTTTTAAAGTCTTTAGTAGAAAATTCCAATCCACTCTATCAAAGGCCTTCTCTGCATCCAAAAAAACCAGCACTGCAGGAATCTGTTTATTCTTATCAAGATATTCCAATAAATCTATTACTTGCCTTACATTATCCTTCATATATCTGCCCTCAATAAATCCCGCTTGATCCTCATGAATCACCTTTTGGATTACTGGCATCAACCTCCATTTTTTTAATGGAGTTTCAAGATAATCCTATTCTACTGCTGGAATGGCCTGGGAATAGCCTAGACCTTAACCCAATTGAAAATCTATGGAGCCGACTCAAGAAACTTGTAAGTCAGAAGCAACCCAGCAATAAAACCCAGTTAATAGAAGCAATCGTTCAATCTTGGTTTCACATTATAATAGTGCAGAACTAAAAGATTTGGTTCACTCCATGGGAAGATGTTGTAAGGCCGTAATTCATGCTAATGGCTACTCAACTAAGTATTAACTTCTATGGTGATAATTTTTGTACTTCTCGTTTTTTCTATGTGTTTCACTTTTCTTCTTTATACTGTAATTGCTATTCTAATAGCAAATCCTTCATAAAAGTTATTGCATTACATTCTTGATTAAATTATCTTTCCATTGATATATAATTTTATGGTACTACTCCAAAAATAAGAGGTATTATTAGCAAGTTTTAGAAAATACGCTTTTCCCAAAAGGTTTCCACAATTTTGGCCGCTACTGTAGTTGCTTGACATGCAAGCTTCTCTTGTAACAAAGTGGAGGACTCAGGTACCAGTCCAGGCAGGGATGCGAGAGTGGGGAACCTGGTTTTGTAAAAGAGCTGCCTTCCCTTGAGTAAAATCATTCAAAGTCTGCCTGCTGTCTATGAGTTTTAATGTTTTTAATTCTTAAATGTTTTTTACAATGATTTTAAATGCATTGTGAGCCGCCCTGAGTCTTTGGAGAGGGGCGGCATACAAATTGAATTAATAAATAAATAAAATAAATATAGCCAAAGCCAAAACAAAACAACCGAAAAAAACCCCAAACCACCCCTTTCTCCAAGTAGGGTCAGAAATGACCAAGGAAAGTTGTCATGACCCAAGTGTAGGTAGGTAGTCCTCGACGTACGACCACAATTGAGCCCAAAATTACTGTTGTTAAGTGAGACATTTGTTAAGTGAGTTTTGCCCCATTTTACCACCGTTCTTGCCACCGTTGTTAAGCGAATTACTGCAGTTGATAAGTTAGTAACACGGTTGTTAAGTGAATCTGGCTTCCCCCATTTGACTTTGCTTGACAGAAGGTCACAGAAAGGGAACACATGACCTTGGGACGCTGCAACGGTCGTATCTATGAACACAATTGCCAATGTACGACACCTGCCAGCATGCCAGTTATTGAGCTTTTCAAGCCCGGTAGGCCAACCATGGATAAATCCAAGAAAAGAAAAATTTTAGAAGAAAACAGAATGTTTAATTCAACTATATATGCTAGTTTTGTGGCCGCTCAAGAAATAGTCAGGCAAAGGGTTTTGTGGCTCCCGGTGTTTTCTTTTCTGTGGGAAATGGGTCCAAATGGCTCTTTAAGGTTGCAGACCCCTGCCCTAGATGGCATCCAAACCATGCTTTTTGAGCTGTATCCAGAAATACTGTACATTACTTAAACATGCTGTACAATCTGAGATATTGAACTAATTCCTATGCATACAGGTAGTCCTTGACGTACAACTGATGATTGTCCAAAGTATGACAGACTTGCCAAAAATTACTTACGACCTGATTCTGAAATTCCAAACACATGTGATCACTTTTTGGGCCCATGGCAATGGGCCACATTTACAGCTGTTTGCCGCTTCGCACAGTCACGTGAGTGTGCTTCACAATGGTTTTTTTTCCCCCCAGAAACCAGTGTTTAATTTTATTACTGTGCTGTTCAATCAAGGTCGTAAAATTGGGCCCGGTCACGTGATGACCCACTTTACAACTGTCACAACCTGTGACTGTAATTGCGAGGCTCAATTATGGTCATAACTCAAGGACTTCCTGAATTTCCGTTTACCCCTCCAGCGCTAATCCAACATATACCTGAGAGGAAAGTGGCGTGTTTTTTGTGGTCATGATTTTGCTTCCGCAGGCAAAAGGGGCTGTCGTGGCTCTCCGGTACCAAACGGGACTTCTCGGTGAGCAGTTCCATCAGTCTCCTCCTGCGGCGGAAATTCATTCGGAACTGATAGAGCAGGTTGCTATCCATAAAATGGTGTTTGTTGGACACTAGAGGCGGTTAAGAAAGACAAAGAAACCTTCGTTTTAGCTGAACATAAAAATTAGGAGGGAATCATTATCCCTTGCAATGAGAAAATAATACCCAGCGTTCACACAAAAGTAATTTTAACAGTAATTATAGGCATACAAATACAATGTGGGATGTGGTGGCTCTGTGGCTAAGATGCTGAGCTTGTCGATCGAAAGGTCGGCAGTTCAGCGGTTTGAATCCCTAGTGCTGCGTAACGGGATGAGTTCCTGTTACTTGTCCCAGCTTCTGCCAACCTAGCAGTTTGAAAGCATGTAAAAAATGCAAGTAGAAAAATAGGGACCACCTTTGGTGGGAAGGTAACAGCGTTCCGTGCGCCTTTGGCATTTAGTCATGCTGGTCACATGACCACGGAGACGTCTTCAGACAGCGCTGGCTTTTCGGCTTTGAAACGGAGATGAGCACCACCCTCTAGAGTCGGGAACGACTAGCACATATGTGCGAGGGAAACCTTTACCTTTACCTTTTTAGGCATACAATATTTCTGGCCAGTCCATTTTGGGAAATCAATGATACAGTTTAATATTTGCAATGCTCTTTAGTACTGAATGGGGGGCAGATTCTGTTGGATGCTTATCCTACGGTTGGGTAGATAATATATAGAAAACTATGTTCTGTAACTTTAACTGCTACAAAGATGACTAATTGGCTGTGCTAAGCAGACATAAAAGAAGGCAGGAAGTTCATTCACTTCTGCTCCTGCTATTAGAAGGTTGAACTGCTGAAAGGAACTTTGTCTGTGTTACTGAAGAGAACTAGAATTGTAAGCAAACTATGCTTTGTGTTGAACCGTGATTGTTTGAAGAAGTGTTATCTTTGTTTTGAAAAGCCAAGTTTGTTTTTTACTACAAGTAAAGACTGTTTATTTTTCTTTAAACATTCAGAGTCTGTGAGTATCTGTGTGTTTTGCTAAGCAATGTATCTATTCGCTGTCCGGTCCGTTGCACCACGTTGCAGAGGGCAGTTTTACCCTCAACAGATTCTATACTTGAGTTTTTTTCCTGTATAACTACTTTCTCAGCTTCTGCTTACATTACTCACAACTGTCAGACCCTCTCCATTTATTTATTTATTTATTTTTAAATTTATATACCGCCCTTCTCCCTGAGGACTCAGGGAGGTGTACAGCCAGAATTAAAAAACATGAAATGCTAGTTGAAGAACAGATTTTATTCACCCATGGTTGAACAATGTTTCACACTGATAAATAAACTTTCATTTTAAAACTCCAGCACAGATCTCCTCATTCTAGTTGAAATAGAAAAAGACCCAAACTTACCATGGGATCTCCAAGTTTGCTGAAAAAGCTGTATTTTGAGAGTCTTATGGAAGACCGTAAGGGTCGGAGCTAACCTCACCTTGCGATAGGTAATATTCCAGAGGATTGGTGTCATAGCAGAAAAGGCTTGTTTGTAAGTAGATTTCTTTCATGGATGGGACCAGCCGCATGCAATCAATCAATCAATCAATCAATCAATCAATCAGAATAGAGCTGGAAGGGACCTTGGAGGTCTTCTAGTCCAGCCTCCTGCTCAAGCAGAAGATCCTATACCTGTGATGGCGAACCTATGGCACGCGTGCTGGAAGTGACATGCAGAGCCATCTCTCCGAGCATGCCAGCCATTGCTCGTTGCTCTTCGCATGCACGGGAGTGCTGGAAACCGGAAGAGCAGCTCCCTGGTGCACATGTGCGCACCAGGAAGCTGAGCTTTCAGTTTCCGGCATGCACATGCGTGCTGGCCAGCTGGTCTTTGGGTGCACATGCACGCCAGAAACGGGAAAACCAGGTGACTGGCATGCATGTACATGATGGAAACTGAAAGCTCAGCTTCCCGGTGCCCATATGCGCACCGGGGAGCTGCTCTTCCAGTTTCTGGCACTCCCCCACATGTGCGCACTCCCTTTTTGGCACTCAGTGCCAAAAAGGTTCACCAACACTGTCCTATACCATTTCAGACAAGTGACTGTCCAGTCTCTTTTTAAAACCTCCTGTAATGAAGCACCCACAATGACTGAAGGCAAGCTGGTTAATTGTCCTCACTATTAGGAAGTTTCTCCTTAATTCTAGGTTGCTTCTCTCCTTGATTAGTTTCCATCCATTGTTTCTTGTCTTGCCTTCTGGTACTTTGGAAAATAAGTTGATCCTCTCCTCTTTGTGCCTCTCCTGCCAGATCTGATGCGATGGGTACAGGTAACAGCAAAGAGGTTGCCTGGCCCTAAACCATAAAGGTCTAAACTAAGAACCAATGTTTGGTTCAGGATTGTTCCAGAAGTATGCTGAAAAGGCCAAATTTAAAAATCCAAGGTTTTAAGAACATGCCCTCAAGGGTTTCAGATAAGAGCCTTTCCCACCCCTTAACTGGAAAAGTCAAGCATCTATCAAGTAGAACCCAAGTTGAGATATATTTAAGTTTAAGGTAGCCTTATTCAGCTAGGATTGGCTGATTCCTCCATGATTCCAACGATAGAAGTTGAAATCTATGGACAACAGAAAACCAGGAAAAGGGAATTTTATTTTTTTTATAAAAAATTTAAGCTTCACACCAGTAGTGAAATCCAATTTTTTTTACTACCGGTTCTGTGGGCGTGGCTTGGTGGGTGTGGTGTGGCTTGGTGGGCATGGCTTGGTGGGCGTGGCAGGGGAAGGATACTGCAAAATCTCCATTCCCACCCCATGCCAGGGGAAGGATACTGCAAAATCTCCATTCCCACCCCACTCCGGGGCCAGCCAGAGGTGGTATTTGCCGGTTCTCCGAACTGCTCAAAATTTCCGCTACCGGTTCTTCAGAACCTGTCAGAACCTGCTGGATTTCACCCCTGCTTCACACACTACAGTACACAAAAGCACCAAGACTTTTGCATTCCTCTTTCTGCTGTTTTGTCCTTAGTAATCTTAGATTACCAAGTACTTAGGTTACTAAGCCAATCCAACTCTCTAAAATTGGAGAAAAGTCCCTAATAGCAGCTGATATACTTTAAACAGCTGTAAGTGGAGGAAGAGATTGGTAAAGGTTCGTGGATGCACCAGCAGGCTTCTGACTTGTGCCAAGACCTCTCATAATCCTGGACAAAATTTTAACTTTTGTTTGTTTTAACCACATAGGGAGATAAACACACACTTGATCTTAGCTATAAGGCCTTGGAGCTAAATAACAGTTTGCCTTTAGAACTAGTAGAATATACATCAACATTTATTCAGTGAAAACAGTCCCTTGATTCAAAGTGGGCAGAGAGAGAGAGAGTGGAGATAGAATTGACTCTCTGTGAATCAGTATAACTTAAGAAAAATCTAATTAAATAATAACAATCTAGCCTAGCTCTCACAGGGATAATGCTATTGTTATATAGACTGAATTCTATCCAGAACCAGCATCTTGTGTCAGCATATGCAGTGTGATGCCTTCCAGATGTTTTGGACAACAGACACTGCAACTATTCATGTTAGATGGGTCTGATGAGAACTGCAATGCAAAACCTTTAGTAGGCACCAAGCTTCTTGCCGTTTCGGCAAGCACTGTATATTTGATTAGTAGACTACGCAGTGCTTTGGATTTGATTTTAAGGAGGTGCGTATGGAACAGGCACATAACACCTGTCTATAACTCCTTAACACAAAGATACATTTTTCTGGATTGCATGACAGCTGGAGTGAGCGGCTGTAGGATCTGGGGGAAATGCCACTTTTAGCCAGAATGCCATTTTGAGCTTAAAAATGACTCCATCCTTGGTTTAAACAGGATGCCTCTCCTACCATCTTTCTACTCCTTTTATCGTCCTTTGTCATCTTGATAGAGTGATGTGACTGAGAAGACATTTCTCACCGTGTTGGAAAATTCCGTGCTCCAGAAGTCTGCGACCGAGTTGTTCCGCCTCAGCTCTTGTGGCAGCTTCTCCTTCCTGGATCAACCAGTCAATCAGTTGAGAGGCCATGAACGTACGCTCATATTTTGCGCCTTCTTCTTCTCTGGCTTGTAAAATAACATTTTCAGTGTTCATAAGCCTGCAATGAAAGTAGGGAATGGAAAGGGAAAAAGTCAATGCACACATAAGTAGAATAGAATAGAATAGAATAGAATAGAATAGAATAGAATAGAATAGAATAGAATAGAATAGAATAGAATAGAATAGAATAATAGAGTTGGAAGGGGCCTTGGAGGTCTTCTAGTCCAATCCCCTGCTTAGGCAGGAAACCCTACACCACTTCAGACAAATGGTTGTTCAATCTCTTCTTAAAAACTTCCAGTGTTGGAGCACCCACAACTTCTTGCGGCAAGTTGTTCCACTGATTAATTGTTCTCACTGTCAGGAAATTTCTCCTTAGTTCTAGGTTGCTTCTCTCCTTGATTAGTTTCCACCCGTTGCTTCTTGTCCTACCCTCAGGTGCTTTAGAGAATAGGATGACCTCCACTTCTTTGTGGCAACCCCTGAGATATTGCAAGACTGCTATCATGTCTCCCCTAGTCCTTCTCTTCATCAAACAGTTCCTGCAACCGTTCTTCATATGTTTTAGCCTCCAGTCCCCTAATCATCTTTGTTGCTCTTCTCTGCACTCTTTCTAGAGTCTCCACATCTTTTTTACAACCAAAACTGGATGCAGTATTCAATAGAATAGAATAGAGCACAGCAGGAAACTTTGTCACTTTAAATGTACACTAATCAGCATATATTAAAATGAAATTTTGTTGCATTCAGCTCTCAAAGATAGCTATTATGCATATACTCACACACATACAGTACATGACACAGAGAAACAACACAGTCTAATTCGAATGTATATATACACATGGTGCATAGGGAACAAAGCTGTTACAGAAACTGGTAGTCCTCCTAGAAATACTTTGAAACCTCCGCCCAGAGGGGAACAACAGAAAAAGATCATAAAGTGGATGTGTGGGGTCTCTAACAATGCTTTGAGCTCTAAGCACATAGCGCTTATAAGCAGTATCCTGAATAATGGGAAGTGAGCTTCCTATAATCTTCTCGGCTGTCCTTGCCACTCTCTGTATGAACTTTCTATTTGAGGCACTGCTGCCACCAAACCAAACAGTGATGCAGTTTGTTAAAAAGCTCTCAATCATGCCTCTGTAAAAAGTGGCCGGAATGAGAAAGATGTGCTCTCCTCATCCGACGCAGAAAATGCAAACACTGGTTTGCACACTTCACTAAAGATAACGTATGAAGAGACCAAGCCTGATTGTTAGTTATCTGCACCCCCAGATACTTAATGCTATTGACCATTTCTACAGCTGCAGCCTTGATATAAAGTGGAGTATGATTATGCTGGTTCTTTCTAAAATCAATGATCTCCTTTGTTTTTTATTTATTTATTATTTATTTATTGGTTCAATTTATATGCCGCCCTTCTCCAAAGACTCAGGGCGGCTTACAATGCACTTATAGCAATAGCCTTCATTCTTTTGTATATACCTGTTTATTAGGGCTTTTGGCCCCCCCATAAGCGGTGTTTCTACAAAGTCAGCTTATTGCCTCCACAATCCGGGTTCTCAATTTACCTACCTCGGAAGGATGGAAGGCTGAGTCAACCTTGAGCCTGGTGAGATTTGAATTCGCACTAATTGCAGGCAGCTGGCAGCTAAGTGCTACATAACAGCACTTAGTCCGCTGCACCACCAAGGCTCTTTTTGTTAACATTCACAGAAGAACATCATACAGGTATTCCTCGACTTACAACTGGTCATTTTTACAGCTCAGAATGGACGTTTTATGACCTGTAAAACACTTCTGAATGCTGTAAAAAGTCACGCCAACCCCCTGGTCACATGATCACACTCCAAACGCTTGGCATCTGACTCGCCTGTATGACCAGTTGTAGCATCCTATGGTCACATGACCACGATTTCTGATCTTTTTTTGCCAGTTTCCTCCATTCCTGCAAAAAAAAAAAAATGCTCTTTTGGAAGAATGGGTTCGCAGAACAACCACACTGTTCGCTTAATGCAGGAAAACAATGTGGTGTTTTCCTTAACGGTTGCTGGGAAATTGTTGGAAAAACAGATCAGGTCATGTGGAGGTGCCTCGACTTACAATCAAAACGACTCACAATCAAAACGACTCACAACCGGATTTCCAGTCCCAATTGTGATCATAAGTCAAGGACTACCTATATTGCAGAAATTCATTCATAAGGTTCCAATTTCTGAGTGAATGAATGACCCAAGCAATTGCTTTGATCTAATAAACCAGATGATCCCACGTTTAGCTCGCTGCTTATTGAGCTGATTTTACGCATGGATGAAGCAAGTATTATCTGCTCCACTCTCTTATGCAAATCCAACTCAGAAAACTAAAGCCGAAACTGCTTCTGGACCTTGTGCTTGAGGTGAAAAAAAAATGAAACTTTGAATTACCGTATTTTTCGGGCTATAAGACGAACCGGTGTATAAGACACACCAAGATTTCGAAGAGGTAAGCAAGAAAAAAAAAGATTTTTGCCCTCGCCGGCCCTCAGGAGTACTCTGCAGGCCTCACAAACCCTCTGCGTGTCCCATTTTTTGCAAAAACAGGGCATGCAGAGAGGGTTTGGGAGGCCTGCAAACTGCTTCTGGGGACTGGGGAGGGCAAAAACATGACATGTGGGGAGTCTGGGAAGCCAAAAACGGGCCCATTTTTTGAAAAAAATTGGGCCATTTTTGCCCTCCCCAGCCCCCAGGAGCACTCTGCATCAGTGGTGAAATGTAAAATTTGTTATTACTGGTTCTGTGGGCATGGCTTGTGGGGGGGGTAATATGACTGGGTGGGCATGGCCAACTTTTTTTTGTTTACTTTTAAAAGCATTTTTTCTACAACCTTAAGAGGTTGCAGGAAAAAATGCTTTTAGAAGCCTCTGACGATCAGGCAACTCAGCTGGGATCGCCAGAGGCTTTTAAAGGCATTTTTTTCCCTACAACCTCTTCGGCTGAAGAGGTTGCAGAAAAAAATGCTTTTAAAAGCCTCTGACGATCCCAGCTGAGTCGCGTGATCATCAAAGGCTTTTTAAAAAAACTTTTAAAAGCATTTTTTCGGCCGAAGAGGTTGCAGGAAAAAATGCTTTTAAAAGTTAAAAAAAAAGCCTATGATGATCGCACGGCTCAGCTAGGCATGGGGGGAGGCAGGGATTTTTGCTACCGGTTCTCCAAACCACCCGCCTCCATTGCTACCGGATCGGGCGATCCTGTCCGAACCAGGAGTATTTCACCCCTGCTCTGCAAGCCTCCCCAATCCTCTGCGCACCCTATAATGGGATGCGTGGGGTGGGGCTTTGGGAAGCCAAAAATGGCTGTATTCAGTGTATAAGACACACCAACATTTCCACCCTCTTTTGGGGGGGGGAAGTGTGTCTTATACTCCGAAAAGTATGGTAGATAGGTTTGTTGTTATAGAAATGGGTAGTTTATACTATTATCTAAAAGTAAAAAGTTGAGATTTGATGTTATTGTTTTATTTTACTGCACCAAAGGGAGTTGGAAGTCAACGCATTTTCTTTCATTTCTCCCTTTTCCCTCCCCATCTTTGCTACTCTTTGCTACTCCATTCTTTTACGTTTTATATTATAAAGAGGTGAGGTGGTGCAGTGGTTAAAGTCCAGCACTGCAGGCTACTTCAGCTGACTGCTAGCTGCAGTTCGGCAGTTCAAATCTCACCGGCTCAAGGTTTACACAGCCTTCCATCCTTCCGAGATCGGTAAAATGAAGACCCAGATAGTTGGGGGCAATATGCTGACTCTGTAAACCGCTTAGAGAGGGCTGTAAAAGCAGTGTGAAGTGGTATATAAGTCTAAGTGCTATTGCTATTGCTATAAATTAATAATAATAAAAAGAAAACTAAAGCAGGAAAGCGAGATACGTTAATTCCACAGACAAAGCTACGATTATGCCACTGTTTTTCATAGGAAATCAAGAGATAGTAGTTTATGGGCCACGTTACAATTCGACCAACTCATTTGCCTTCCCCAAATGGATATTTTCCAAATGTATAGAAACTACGGATTCTAAAAATTACATAGATTATTAGAATCTAGCCATTCTGGTTGGAAGCTCTGGAACTTGCAATCCAAATACATCTGGAAAACATCAAATTGAAGACAGTCGATACAGATTTTTTAATTTTTGAAGCTTTAATGATTCAATGTGGAGTTTAGATGAGGGTTTCAGAATTTGTGCTGCTCCTCTTTCATTTCTTCTTCACCCTTAATGCGAGTCATTAGCCTGCATACAGGGGTGAAATTCAGCAGGTTCTGACAGGTTCTGGAGAACTGGTAGTGGAAATTTTGAGTAGTTCGGAGAACTGGCAAATACTACCTCTGGCTGGCCCCAGAGTGGGGTGGGAATGGAGATTTTGCAGTATCCTTCCTCTGCCATGCCCATCAAGCCACACCCACCAAGCCACATCACGCCCACCAAGCCACACCACAGAACCGGTAGTAAAAAAATTTGAATTCCAACACTGTCCTGATACCATCACAATCCTCCCACCTAACCATTTTTTCCACAATTTCTTTTGTAGTATAGGTAGTCCTTGACTTACGACAATGGTTTCAAGTTATGGCAGCCTCTGTAAAAATGATTCACAACCCATCCTTATAATTACGACCATTGTACCATTCCCGCAGTCGTGTGATTGCAATTCAGGCACTTCGCAAGTGTCTTGCACTTACGATGGTTGCAGCCCCTTGTGGCTATGTGACTGTGACTTGTGACTTTCCCAGCCAGCTTCCAACAAGCCAAGTTCAATTGGGGAAGCTGGATTTGTTTAGGGACTGAATGATTCATTTAACAACTATGTGATTTATTCACCAACTAACAACCACAGGTAAAAATGGTTACAAAATCAGTGTTGACACCCTTAATGATTGCATCGCTTAGCAACTGAAATTCCAGTCCCAGTTTGAGGTCATAAGTTGAGGACTACCCATAATGAATAGTTAACAGTCGTGCCTTATACACTTGCATAATGAACAAACTGCCACAAATGGAACAACTGTTCTTATAACTATGCCAAACC